GACATTGACTTATTCCCCTTGATAACTTTCTTTATGAAGTCATATGAAGAAACAATTTTTCATACTGGGGGAAGAGGAACAAAGGAGCAACGGAGGCTTGACAGCCATACCCAAGTTCTCAGAAAGTCACTACGTTAACATAGGCATTACTAAGGTTGCTGAGACACCTAAAACTTACATACAGCATACATCAATTGTCTATACGAAGGAAGGGCAAATGAGTGTGGGATGTACACAGCACAAACACAAATTAATCTGGCAATTTGTCAAAACTAAATTTTAGGGGAAGGAAAAAAAAAACCACTAAACCAGAATAAGAAAGGTGCTTAAAGTTACAATCTTAAATTCATATTAGATATCCCTTCTAATATGCAAAAATGCTTAGCCTTCAGCAGCTTTCTCTACCACAAGATCATGAAAACAACATAATATAAGAGGTTAGGCTAAATGAAATCAGTTCCTAAATGACAAAGCTATTTGCATTTAAGTGGTATGCAAATAATAATTACATTTTGCATTTGCATAATAATTAAACAATCATTTTAAGGCAAGGTGTGACTTACAGAAGCTTCACAATTATTAACTTCTTCTCTTAAGCTAACCCTTAGTTTACCTACAGCAGCTTTGTGCTGCTTAACTGGCTGGGGCAAAACCCTAACTCTTATTCCTGTAACTTACACCTTGTAACTGGTCACTGAACAGAACGGCTTTGCTCACCCATAAACTGTTAGTTGATACCTTACATATGTCAGACAGTGCTCTGAGTTTTTCCAGACTGTCTTTTTATATATTAAATGAAAACAAATGGGTTTCCCATCTTAGATTCATAAAGCTAACATTTGATATGAACCTTCTAAACCACATTTCTCTCCCTCCCCAACTTTTTTTTTTAATATATAAAGGAGTCAGTATTTTGACCCATATTTTTCATGCACCAGTTAACTAGAAAATTACAGAACCTGAAGAGCTCAGATAAAATTCATCAAGGGGATTAAAACAACGCATACCTCCTCCCTCCAGTAGCGTGGGATGCTACTGGAATGTGAATTAAAGACTCTCAAGCCTTTGAAAAATGAGGATCCCTGAATTTTTAATTTTGTTAACTAATCATTAGAGAACTGGAAATTGCTGTGTTTCTGACTGTTTGATAGGTAGCTGCTTCCATAAAGTACATTTTTAATTTTGTAAGAGCTGGCCTGTTTCCCAGCAGCACACTGATTTGTGGGACCACTACTTACAGCACCTAGAGCATAATTAAAAATTAAGTCCCTCCTTGATGTATGCAAAGTCTGACTAAGAGGATTAGTAGACACACTGAGGGCGGCTTTCACACATTTTCTGGTAATTGAACACTGCAATATCATTAAACTTATCTTCACGCAATAGAAATCCACACTCATCCTTTACAATATCTGCTGTACCTTCTTGCACCAAGAAATGGCAAAGGAAAAGAGGGATCCCTTAAAAGCACGTAAGAAATGTCAAACAAGTAATGATGAAACAATCTGTAAGTAAGATAATGAATAAATTTTGGAAATATTTGCAATTTAAAGTTGTACTGGTTTTAGTTGAGATCGCTGATTTTCTTCACAGTAGCTACTATGATGCTGTTTTGGATTTGTGCTGAGAAGAATATTGATAACCCTAATGTTTTTAGTTGTTGCTAAGGAATGCTTATGCCATGTCAAGGACTTTTTAAGTTTCTGACACTTCATCTGCATTCCCCGCTTCATCTTCTACAACTTCATTTAAAAAAAAAAAAAAAACCAAACTCCAAACCAACAACCTTTAGACACATTCCTCTACCATCTGAAAATGGCACTCAAACGCCCCATTTTTTTTGGTAGTGTGGTGGGGTGTTTTACTACTTCGCTGGCTGAGAACGGATGAACAAATTAGTAAAGAGGTAGTGAAGCTACAGAAATTGATACCTACAGATAACGTACACAGCAGTCTGAGCACATGTTTGAATGTAATTCCTCATGTCTACTTTTTGCCCCTGATTCACCCAGGATTACCCAGCAATCTGATTAAATGTTTAAACTGTGCTTCAACATCCCCTCCTGTAGAACAGGGTTTCTTGTGAGGGTCTTTGCACCCGAAGCATTAACGTGCATGAGAAACTTCCTTAATTAATGCTTTGCTAAAAGCTCACATACAGATCTCTCTCTGAGCTTTGTCACATAACAACTGACTTCTGCGGTATTCCTGTTTCACTTACACACTGTGAAGTATTGTGAAATATAGTATTCAGTATGCTATTTTATTATGCTATTTTCCCTGTTTGTTAATTCACAAAGTAAGGAAAATTAATCATCAAACAACATCAACACTTGCTTTTTCTAATATCAACTTGAAGACTAGCATTTGACATCAGCTGACTGGAAGAGAAAAAAGAAAAATAGTCTAAGTAGCGGATCACTCATTTGTTTTCCTGGACATTTGTGAACAACTCTGAAATTCAACAACTGGTACCTAACAGACAAACCAATATATCTCTTCTCTTTACATCACAAATTAGTTACCTAACACAAAATACCTGATGAAAACAAAGGGTTCTAATCTATCACACTTAGCTTGAACCGACATAAAAATTTGAATACTTTTTAAATATGTTCCAACAGGGGTCTTATAACTGCACTCTGTAGCAGCAAATGCGGTGAAAAAATGATGATTTTCATCTAAGTACATATAAGCACAGCTTTCACTATTGCTAGGCATGAAAACTATTTCTGAACTTTGCTAAATAGAAATACTATAAACAAATAATTTTATATGATAGTGTGTATACACATTTATATACAGTTAGGTCTGAAAAGCTTGAACTTATCTAGCTCAGTATTTAACCACTTTACTGCATGGATTCTTGCACTACTTGCTTAGTCATTAACAGAAGAGCAGAGCACTGAAGTGAGCAACAACACTGTGTTATGAGCAAGTGGACTACCAACTTCTACCTTCACAAAAAACAAGTATGTTTTCCTGGTCGTAACAAGGAGTATTTTAAAAATCTACCACTTCAGGAAAAACATAAACTATTAACATATTATAAGCAGAGACCTAAACCAGCTGGGAGACTGGACCAACAAGAATTGCACGATGTTTAGCAGTTGTGCTGCAGCCAGGACAGCACAGATGGGGCCAGCCAGGCTGTGGGGCAGCTCTGCCTAGGGGGCCTTGGGTGTCCCGCTAGCAGTGAGTTACATGTCAGCCAGCAGCATATGCAATGCATTTGATTAATTCCTAAACCACTGGGACACAAAAGCAAATGGATGCAAGTTTCATGTTGTGAAATTATACACACTTTGATTCACTAGCTTACGGGAGAAAATAAAAGTGATCTTGTCCTGTATATTTCTCAAACAAGTGTAATGAGTCTCACAAGCTTTCTGTCAAATACAGGTTCTGTCTTCTACAGACACGACTGAAAGCTATTACCTACCTGTAACTTTTTACTTAACACATACTCTAGTTGACTCTTTCAGACTTGAAATGCTTTTGGATTGGAAAGCAGGTCACAGGCAACACAGATATTGACAAAGAACTGAACCGAAGATGAAGAACCCAATCACAGACACCTGAAGAGCACTTGAATAGCTGGTACTATTGTGAATGCAAGAGAAAAAGTAATTTCTAAAGAAAGCAGGATATAAGCATTTTCTTCTTCTTTTAAGATTTTTATTATGATTATTCCCTTGGATAACCTTAACACAATGAGATACTGCTTTTGGTTTATATTAATATAAAATGGTTTTGTGCATGGATTTCTTGGAGGAAAGGAAGCATAAAAGTAACTGCTTCTGAGTAACTCTACATGCAACAAGTGATGAAGATGTCCCTGCTTGTGGCGGGGTCTGCACTATATGACCTTTAATTCCAACACAAACTATTCTATGATTGTAAATGATCCTCATATGATTTCAAGACAGCACAAGCTTCAAAGGCAAGACTATTTATTCCTGTTAAGCATTAGTGTATTTTCACTGTACTTAGAAACGTAGAACTTCTAAACATACGTACACTGATATTAAGCACTTCACCAAAAGGTGTCATGAAAACAGTTGAAGTATAAAAGAATAACCAGTAAGACCTGTTTTGGAAATACAGAGTTTTTAATATCCTACTTGATAAACCCGTGTGTTTTCACTCCTGAGGACATTCAGTAGATGAACCTTACTAGTCTTAGATCAACTTCTACATATACATGAAAGGTACATTTTGTCACCCTTTAATTCAGAAGGAAAATTGATCTGTTTTAAACTTAAAAACTTGAACTAGAAGCACTCCGAATCTCTTAGTAGGGAACAAATAAAAAGCTAAGAGTAACTTCTTTCAGTAATGATTTTACCTTATTTTTTTCCTGATGTTACAGTAAAAAAAAAAAATTATCAATTGGGTAGTTAAAGGTGTGAACTGTTTTTAAGCAACTACTGCCTTTCAGTTGTTAAGATGCTGAGGCTTAAGAGAGACAATATCAGACTAACTGTGACCTAATGCATTCCCTATCAATTAAGTATTTCCATCTGAGAATGTCCTTCATGTTCCTACTACACATTCATGGAATAATACTTAAAAAAAAAAAAAATCACCAAAAAAAAGAAACAGTGGCCAGTAATTCTTATTCAAATCCGACTGCAATGCCACACCAAATAGAAGATGAAGACAGAAGGTAAAAATTGGACAGAGAAAATGGTCATAAAAGAAAGAATATAAAACAACTTCAAAGTCAGTGCTTGACATGGAGGAAAATCATCAGTGTTTAATCAAGCTCACTATTATGTACTCCTGATCCCAAACAAAAGCTGAGGAGTCCATTAACTTTACATAACTTTGCTTTTCAAAGAATCATAATGTATTAGAAACCTGATTCAAAAGGAAGGAAGGATTAGTTCCCATATCAACAGAATGCATTGCAACCATATACTGCAAACCAGCATTTCATCATATAATCCTTGTATAAAAAGTCTTATATAATCATTTATAGCAATCAATATTAATACCTTTGTTTCAGGCCAGCAAGCTCTGAGAACAGCTTGTGTCCTGAAATACGCAAGTAGCTTGCTATCCTCATCACTGAGATGGAAGGCTTGCTCCAGAATTTGCAAAACTCTGATGCGAGGCTTCACTGCTAAAGAGTCATCACCACAGAAAGGTCTCAACCACTCCAGAAGGTCATCTGAAGAAACTACTTTCTCCCTGTAATTAAACAATTCTGTGTTAAATAGACTTGGGTTATCCTAATCAAAGTACTACATGTATTTTCAAAGCTGTTAAGAAAAGCATAACAATGGAAATGGAAGAGCTCACCTGTGTAAGACTGCAGAGAAATCAGTCATCATAAATAAGGGGTGTAAGAACTTTTTTTAAACTTCCAGTAGCCATGTAATACCATGGCAATCCATCTACAGTTACATATTCTCCCACACACCACCTTGACTGCCAATTGTATCATCATGGGGCTGGATTTCAACACCTGAAAATTCAAGCCTTTTTATGGTGTCTGGTCATGTCTGACACCTGTACTTCCATGCCATCTGACTTTATGGAAAAGCAGCTTGACTGCTTGCATTTTAAGCATGACATTTTTATACCTCATTGCCCTATATTCTCCTTTCCTTACAAGCTCCACATACGTAAATTCATTGATCCTGATTGTAGCTCTGGCTATTTCTTAACTGTTTTCTGTACCACCTTTAGCAATCTTGATTAGTGTACGTTCTAGTATGATGATTGCAAAACGCCCATAATTCCAAGAAAGAAAAAAAACTATGTCAAAAAAATCTAACTTTTGGGTTTTTTCTAACTTGGCTAATTAGAAAATCTGAATTAAATAATTTGATTCAAGAAGTGTATTATATTGAATACATTCTAACTGTGAAAATATTTACACTCCACAGATTACCATGAACTCAACCAACCAGCTAGCAGTTGCAGAGAGAATAATCTGTTACGTCCCTTAGAGGCTATAAACTGCCACATAACAAATCAGTAAATGCTATTCTGCTATCTTTCTGAAGTATTTTAAACTAAAGCTAATTTTTTTCCTTTAAAAAAAATATATAAATTAATCAAGAAAGTGGTTCCAGGTGGAGTGTGATTTATAACTAATGTTCCCTTATTTATCTTAACAAGTCAGACGGGAAAGTAATATCAGACAGAAAACACCAATTTAACCTGTCCTGCAGCTCTGAAATAATAAACATTGACAGCTTAGGCTTTCATATTACAAGGATTTCAATTTTACTTAGCCTTTATATTGTCTGACTGATGCTGTTAGAACTTCAGCTAAATTAGACATGCCTCTGATGAACAGGTGGCATGCAAACTGTAAATTAAAAGCTTGGGAATTAAGAGGACCTGCTGGAATATTTCAAGAGTTCTGTAGAGCTCACACCTGATGTTTATATATGTTTTCCTGAGGGGAAGATTTATATTTTGTAAATTGAATAGCTAAGGCTTAAGGAGAAAAATAAGATCAAGTATTTAAATGAATGTAAACAATCTCCTGCAATCACAATGACTTCCACTCCAGCTTATTGTTTCAGCAGTTAAATGTTGATAAAGTATATAAGTAAGAGTCCAGAAAGTGCATCTCAGAATAAAATACTACTGACTCTCCCATTCTTCCTTATAATATCACAAATGAGATTTACTGCAGAGTTTGACATCAGTCTACTTTAGTATCCAATATTTAACTAATTTCATGGCAGTGGAGAGGCCTCTGCACAACAGTGTAATTGTTTTTGTTGGCTACCAGAGAGTAGAGGGGTTTACTATTATTATCATACATGAGTTCTTAGTTCGTAGGTCTGGAAAGAAAACAGTTTGGGTTTTTCTTATTCCTTGTCTTTACTAGAAATGCAATGGAAAATGTCAGTGAGACATACAGACCATTATGTGGTAAGGACAAGGCCAAATGAGGAGAAACACACATGTGGTGATACAGCATCTGTGCAATTGTTTCTGCACTGCACCCTACAAGTATTGACAAATTTAAATATCTAAATTCAGATATCTGAAAGTGAGTCATTATTTGTAATTTATCTACTAAACTGAAACAAAAGCAGTGAAGTATTCTTGGTATATATGCAACCTGAAGTAGTCACAGCAGAAAAACCATTTTCTCAAACCACAATAATACATGGTAATCTAAATTTTAGAGTCAGTGACTTGCTTTCTTCCCAGTGATCAAGTAAAGGCTTCTGTCAGGGCTCAGATTTCAAACTTCATAAATGATAATAGCCTGTTCCAGAAAAAAAGTCTTAGAAAATTAAATGTAAAGCCATTATATATACACATGAAGAAAAATCATCCATATTCAGTATTGTACCTTCAATGCTTTCATGAGAAGTATCTTTCAAAGTCTTAACCAAAGAATCCATACAGTAAGTTCTTACCCTTTCTCAACACTTGCATGCACTGCAGAAACGATGCCCTCTAAGATTCTAAGTGGATCTTTCACTGCTGGAGATGAGTCACCATTTCCACTGTTAAGGGAAGACATAAAATTAGCATAAAAGTGATTCTTAATATTGTATCTAATTCTATCCACTTGCAGGATTTACATGGACTGTTCAATCATCACAGCAATTTTCCACTTACTCTGCTTAACTAGTATCTTTATTTTTACGTCTAAGTAATGCAAGGAGAAACAAGAAGAGTGGGAAAGAAGTAACTGAAATACTTAAGTGAAACTTGAAAGAAACAGAATAGTCAAAATTTAGCACTTCTAACAGAGATTAGGTCAAAAAAACCACCCATGTAATAACATTACTTTAGAGATCTCATCACTACCAACTGAACAGATTAAGCGTTACACATAAATGTCACCATCTTTTCTTTTCAAATATCATCTTGCAGTATCACTATTGGTTTAAACCAACTTGACTGTAACCAGAGTCAAGAGAATCCTATCTGCTGACTCATTTTCAGTTGGATCAACCAGGATGATGTTTACAAGAACCAATAAAATTAAAAAGGAGGGAATACATGGTCAACAGAAGCATGTGGGAAAAAGGAGGGTTAAGCCACCCATCAAACAGCATCCACTATGTATGTGTAGGAAGAGAAAAAGGTGATGTCCAGACTACCCTGACTGTTCTGTCTAAAGCCAAAATGTGCTGTATAGCTGACTGTGTAAAAATTGAATGTCTACATTCATGTTAACAACCACATTTCTTTTTTTTTTTTTTGGTCAAAAATTTTAGGAGTGTATTTACAATTTTGTCATTTATCACTTCAGTATGATAAATCTATTGCATAAAAAAATTATTATACTATATGGAATAGAGACCTGATTTTTTACAGTCTTTAATATCTTCATGCATTCAGAGCTTTCATCTTTTCTATTATTACTTTATCTTAATAGCACTTCAGTGAACCACACTAGATTTAAAATCAACAGGCGACTCCATTCAGAACAGATATAAGAGAATTTGTTGCATGATGAAACCTCAGTTTACCTTAGTATACGCATTTTATATTGCGGTATTGCACTCAGAAGTTTGAAGTAGGAGAGTAGAAAGCTCGTAACACCCACCTGCTCCTCAAATAGAAGTCACACAGGACTATGATAGAAATGCAATTGTTAATACCAATACTACCATATGGCATGTAAATTAATTTTAGGAGTAAACCTTAAATCTAGATATTTTTCTAAATGTCTTCAGAATATTTGCAAGCAAATTATAATTTTTATAGTTTTTGGTACAGAAATATGAAGGAAATATTTCACACTCTCACTGAGAGATGTCTGTTCAAAAAGATAAAATTTATTGTCAAAAATGTTTTTCACAGAAAAGGAGAAACAACAGAACTGAATGCTCCATTAAAAAAACCACACAGACACAAAATCCCTAGACCTTAACAACAACAACAAAAACTCGAACACACAAAAAACCAAACACCCAGAAAGAAAAATCCTTCCACATGTGGATTACACCAATACTGCAGAAGCACAGAAATGGTAAAAACAGCAGCGCCATTAAAGCAATCATTTTATGCAAGCAGCTACATGCATTAGGACATGATTTCAAGTTTGCTTTTAAAATAAAAAAAGCTAAGAAAACTTAAGATACGTTTCCAGGGTGAAGATACATATAAGCCACTTCATTAATGTTCTGTTTACAAGTCAGATTTAAGTTTTCCTGTATTATTATGCTTTCTGGGGTTTTTTAGGGTGTTTTGTTTTTTTAAGTTTGTAATAAAAAGACATCAACCAAGCACATTAACATGGCATATCTAAAGAAAACTAGAACACTTATAAAGCTCACATACTAAGAAGAGAATGATGATTGTCTGAAATTGTAAAGAAGAGGTCACAAACTACAGAAATGGAGTACTTAACCTAAATTATCTTTAGTGTACATAAGCAACTTTCCTATCAAAAGGAGACTGACCAGAAAACCTCAGATTTTGGAGGTTGGTTTTGAACAGTTCTAGAACTTGCTCTTCAAAAACCCTTCATCACTCTAATTAGAAATGAAAGCCTTTAGCTCCCACCACAACCAGGCTCTGAGCACCTGAAAAAACTCAGGTCAAAAGAAATATATAGTCAAAATTTAATGGGCATTTCTGAAAACAGAAAACCACTCTTTCAGACAAGATATCTGTGAAGCCAGCTCTCAGACACAGTAGGCACAGGGACATTTACAGAAAGCTTCAACTTTGTTATACACAGATAGGTACTACTATACTAAGTAGGAGGAAAACAAAAAAGTGAACCTAAGCAATAAGTTACACTTATATAGAATATGAAAGTATTTTTTAAAAAATCTAGAAAGCTTGAAAGCCAGCATTTTAAGCTTAATATTGCCTTGACTGCCTAATGGATAAAGAAACTAAAAAGAGATTACAGCTCATGAGACAAATAATCATGTCAAGTTTCCACAGATTGTTGCCTTGTTTTTTTCTTAATTAATGATTAAAAATAAGCAGCTACTAACATAAACAAATATAATTAATGAAGGATTAGTCTTCATCACAGATTATATGGTATTTTATGCATGTTTTAAACAATAGAACAGGATTCAGTGTTCACCTCAAAACTGCTAGGTATGAGCCTTGTGTAATTACACTGATAAAGGCTTATTTTGATTTCAGTTCAGCTTCAGAAAAAGTGCTGCATATTTAATCATGTTCCTCAAACACAATCAAATATAAAGAATGCTTGAAAGGAGAATAAATTACTTCATCTAAGTCTTTTAGCCTAATTATAGTATGAAGTATTTTCAATGAATACTGTCTTATTTCTCCAGCCTTATTTTCCTCTTTGTTTGTGCTTCACCTAAATATCAGGAAAATGTGGAAATACTGTTGGTGAGACCATTCAAAGTTGGGGGAAAAAAAAGACAAAGCCAACCATCGTTTCTGTAAGAAATACCATGAAACTATGATGTCCAAGTTACAATATTACTCTGTATGACCTCTGCTCAAGTGAGATGAGATAGTAAAAAAACTTTGGTTGTTTTTTTTTTTTTTCCCCTCCTTCTAAGTTAGCTACTTAGACTAAAAAGCTAGTTTTACCTTCTTGAGGAAACACTGGCCATTAAACAAAAACTCAGAATTTCCCTAAACCTTTCCTGTTCATTGCCTGGAAAACACTTGCAAAATTTCATGAAAGGCTACATCCATCTGGACACTTAAGAAATTTAGGAGCTGCAAATTAAAGAGGCCATAATAATGTCTCCAGCAGACAAGCTGTCTTCCCTGACTAACCATCCATGAACATGCCAACAGACAGGCATCATGGAAAGTCTCCAGTATATCATGTGAGTGATCAAAGGATGGTTTGGTTTGGAAGGGACCTTAAAGACCATCTAGTTCCAACCCCCCTGCCATGGGCAGGGACACCTTCCACTAGACCAGGTTGCTCAAAGCCTCATCCAGCCTGGCCTTGAAGACATCCAGGGATGGGGCATCCACAGCTTCTCTGGGCAACCTGTTCCAGTGCCTCACCACCCTCTCCAGGAAGAATTTCTTCCTGACATCTAATCTAAACCTCCCTGATTTCAATTTATACCCATTCCCCCTTGTCCTATCACTACAGGCTCTTGTAAAAAGTCCTCTCCCAGTCCCCTTGTAGGCCCCCTTCAGATATTGGAAAGCTGCAATGAGGTCTCCTCGGAGCCTTCTCTTCTCCAGGCTGAACAAGCCCAACTCTCCCAGCCTTTCATCACAGGAGAGGTGCTCCAGCCCTCTGAGCATCTTCGTGGCCTCCTCTGGACTCGCTCCAACTGGTCAATATCCTTCTGATATTGAGGGCTCCACAGCTGGACGCAGCACTCCAAGTGGGGTCTCACCAGAGCAGAGCAGAGGGGCAGAATCCCCTCCCTCGACCTGCTGGCCACACTTCTCTGGATACAGCCCAGGATACGGTTGGCCTTCCGGGCTGCCAGCACACACGGCCGGCTCATGTTCAGTTTTTCGTCCACCAGTACCCCCAAGTCCTTCTCTATTATGTTCTAGCTTGAAAGCTAACATCTGAGCGTAGGACAGAAATGCATCCAATTTTGTTCACAGCAACAACATTAATATCAGCAAGCTTAAGACATGCCAAGCAACAACCTTTCTTGTAATTATTTCCTAAATTTAGAGATGCTCCTTTAAAATATGACCCTCTGACTAAATTTCCTAATAGGGAAGATATTATTTCAAGTATTTTCTATTTTATTTTATGCTAGATTTTCACTTCATGATCTTTTTCTAGTAGACAAACTTTCCACAGGTCACTATCTGTTCCTTTATCATGAATGACATGAAATAATTTTTCCCTTCCCACAGGGAAGGGGGGAGGGGGAGAAGATTTCAACTGATCACATTAGGTCTCACTACACACCAAATGACTGAATTTCTGAGTTTATCTAAAGCCACCAACTAATTCTCCCATTTTTACCACTACAGTTTTCTCTACCGGAAAGAGATGCAACCCCTTCCTTACTGGAAATACCGCATAGTTGTTTTCACAATCTCTGCCCCCAAACTTAAAATCAACTTGCATCCATTCCAGCCTTACAATCCATATAAAGAACAAATAAATGAGTTCAAAGAAAAAAGTTGATAAGAAACTGAGGAGAAAGGAGAATTTTGATAGGTTTCTCATACTCTGCATGTTAACGAGACTCATTACAGTTGAATTAACTGGACTCTGTGAAGCCAGAGTTTTCAGAACTCCAGAAGCAGCACACTATCATATTGAAGACAGAAACAGCGATCACTTAAAGCCCAATTATTCTTCCTTGAATGGACAAACCCAAACAAGAAACAAAGTGCTACTTGTGTTGCTGTGCAAAAGCTCTACCATCATTGAGGATGCTATCAACACTCTTATAATGAGTATAAACCAATTTTCTGCCAGAGTACTGCAGACATTTTGACAGGCTGCCTTATTTTCATCTGTGGCATGTCAGTCTGGTGTAAAGGAGAAGAGAAGGTAGAGCCATAGATTAATTTCCATGCTAGACTTGTTTCTCTATTTCTGGTATCACAGAATCACAGAATGGTTTGGGCTGGAAGGGACCTTGATGACCATCTAGTTCCAACCCCCTGCCATGGGCAGGGACACCTTCCACTACACCAGGTTGCTCAGAGCCTCATCCAGCCTGGCCTTGAACACTTCCAGGGATGGGGCATCCACAGTTTCTCTGGGCATCCTGTTCCAGTGCCTCACCACCCTCTCCGTGAAGAATTTTTTCCTGATATATAATCTAAATCTACCCTTTTTCAATCTAAACCTGTTACCCCTTGTCCTGTTACTACAGACCCTTCTAAGAAGTCCCCCCCAGCCTTCTTGAAGGCCCCCTTCAGGTACTGGAAGGTACTATAACGTCTCCCAGAGCCTTTTCTTCTCCAGGCTGGACAAGGCCAACTCTGTCAGCCTTTCTTCGTAGGAGAGGTGCTCCAGCCTCCTGTATATTCCCAAATGAAAGATAAACGAAAACAGTTAGAGCCTCAAGCTTGTGAAAGCATGCCATGTTCCTTCTGGGCTGGAAGACATGAAATACAGAGGCTGTTGCTATCCAAAAGCTAAAGGACTTAAATGTCAAGCTCTGCACTCCTTCCCTGCCTGAGATGGAACTAGCCCTGAAAAAACACACCATGACTACGTTAGTTGTAGACTGTTTCTCAGAACTGTACCTTGAAAGCAAGACTGGATCCAAAGAATATATTAAACTAAAAGATCATTGTATTCAAGTTAACACAAACTTTAAACTTGATGTTAATGAGATTAAGATAGTCAGCGTCAATGTTTCATGTTCCTTTGTATCATCCAGGTCTCGCCCAAATCTCAACAGAAATTTTCAGGGATGTGCAAGGATAAATTGCGTGGAAAATAAGTTATTTTGCATTTTCTGTTCTCCTAGCCTATTTCTCCATAATTTTAACATAACAGATGACTGTTTGCTGGAGTTGCATGAACACAGCAGTTATTTGGCTTGTGTGTCATGACATGGAAAAGACAGTTGTTGAGGTTTATAGCTGTGAATCCCAGAAAAAGATGGGAGAAAAAGCCTTGCTTCTGGTACAATGTGTGGGATTGCTCATAGCATGACGGCACTAATAACAGCAAGAAACCGTAACAATGACAACACTAAAGGAGTTGAGGAAAACAATCCCCTCCCTCACATCAGAAACCTGTTTTTCTCAAAGAAGTTAGCAGGTTGGGGGCGTTTAGGGTATCATTCTTGCTTTTAAGTGCTGTAGGAAGTACAAAGCACTTGCTGTTTAATGTGGGAGAAGGGTGTGATAATGGGAGATGGAAGAGGAAGAACACAAACCAAAGAAGCATTGTTTACAAGAACTAAGAAGAAAAATGCATAGCTAATATGTTAATGACAGGCAGACACATTTTTCAAAACCTTGCAAATAAAAACCACGAAGAACAGCTCTCAAAAATACCCCAGCAAATTATTCCAAATATGGAAACTGCACTTGCTACAGGACTAGCTGATGTGGCAACAGCCACTGCTGTGCCTCTACTGCCCACATACCTGCATGAGGTACCCACCATTTCTAACAATACTGCCTTTTGACTGTTTAAGAGCAAAGAAATATATGCAACTGTAAATTCTCAAAAAATTCACAAGCACTCACACACAAATAACGGAACAATATTGTAAAGACGGCGTTTTTAACTGAGATGCACCCTCCTGTGAATAGGGTAAATTCTGTGGCTGCCTTTGTTCAGGCTGCCCAGGCTTCCCAAATTCAGAAAAACGTAACTGAATATAACTGTCTTATCTGAATATAACATTATACATAAACAGGAACACAAACAATCCAAGTACTCATTTCCTGTTACTGCCCCAATTTGCTGCAAAATCCAGACATCCAAAGCAAACAAGTACTCAGTACAAAAAAAACCCCAATCAACCAACCAACCCCAACCAACCAACCAAATAACCCACCAAAAAAGCAGAAGAAAGATCTTTGGGCTTAATTATGGCAGTGTACTTACCTTAATGCACACACAATTTTTTTAATAGCACACTGGACAACATCCTTGGGAGAAAGACCTGCATCTCCAACAGGCACTTGTAAAAACTGTTGTATCATGTCCAGGGGTTGACCATCTATACACATAGTTACTGCTTGATCACGGATTTTTTCTTTCTCTGACCTTGACAAATCATATAAATAGGCATAATTCTGTAGTTTATCCTGTGAACAGATAATTTTTTTTTTGAACATGAAACAGTGGACTCTCTTTACAGGGATGTATCATTCATTCTCCTTCTACCAAGATTTAACATACACAACAAAAAGGAAAAGCTTGATGGAAGTGAATTTTCAAACACCAAGTCAACAAAAACAAAGCTACAAAACTTTAATAAAATATGACACGAGATTGATGTCCATCACTAGTCACGGCAACACTCAACAAGCACCTGATCAGTAATCATTACCTGTTCGCTGTTTTTCAAGTAAGTAATAAAACTATGAGTGAGTGTTTCCAGATGAGCAAGAGACTGCTTCAGGTGATTCAGAGTTTCTTCATAAGCAACAGATGCATTTTCAGCGTCTTCCATGTCATTCTCAGAAGTTTTTTTTCTTGATTTTTCAGAAATATGTTTGACTGCTTTAATAGCCTTCTTGGTCACTTCTATCCTAGCTTCAACAGGCAGCTGAAAAAGATTATTCAATATTTAATGATTCATCACTACTATTTGTATTAGAGCAGTGCCTAGAAGTCAGGTGGTTCCACTGTTCTATGGCACAGCATAAAACTAAATGAAGTACTACAAGAGAAGCAACCCTATTCTTTATTGCTAATTTATTTTAAAAGCATCAGTACTCCATTACCTTCTTATGTTCTCCTTTGTTTTACTGACATTAAATCTGCATCATATGAAATCATACAGAACTTATTTTCCCTAATAATACTCATGATTTTTGTACACTGCCACCTTATAATGTTTGGGTTTTTCATCCTGCATTGTGAGATGTCTGGGGATTGTTTTACAAAATTAAGTGAAAATCCCAAATGTTGATGATTAAGTTAAAGTTAGTTTTGTTAGGTTTAGATCACTGTTTAAAAGGTATGTCTAAGACTATAATCATAAGCAAAAAAAAACCCACCCAGTAGGAATTCTATAACTTCTAAATAAATCTGTTTTAAGCACAACCGGTAAAAACCAGTGAGTTACTATTTTAAAAGACTGGTACAACTAGATGTATCTAGCCATTAAATTGAAACAAGGAAGTCTGTTGGGTTTTTTGCCCGCATTACACTTCTCAAAGTTTGAATTTCTAAACACCGTCATTCAGACACCGAACAAAACTTCTCCCTACCCCCTCCATCTAGTATGAAAGGGTCATTCCAGCATATCAGAATGGAATTTAGGATTTCGGAATGGCGTCTGGGCAACAATCACAGACTCCCAGGCTTCCAGAAACCGTGAGCATTTTAGAAAAGGATATAGATGGAAATACTCTATACAGACAGTACTTGCAGCATAGTTGTGCTTTTAATTGAGGAAAGACACAGCTACAGCTGTAAGTCCAAGAGCTATAAAGACATGAGTCATACCCTGGATACTTCAGTCCAAGGTCAGGTCTGGCAACTGAGATTTCAGGGTATCAGTCTTTCCTGCTAAGCATGAAACACTCAGCATGCTTCCAAGATAAAAAGGATCAAAACACTTAAGACAGCAGTTCTGCTGAACAAGCCTAAGAGACAGCTGATGGGGTTAAGATAACCTGTGTTGGTCTATTAGTAGCGTGACAGACAGATCAAAGCATACATTTCATGCTGACAAAGTTTTTCATTTTCCAGGATTTCAATGAATAACTTTCCACCCCCACCCCCACCCCCGATTTTGGAATACATACAGGTTAGAAGTGTTTCAATAAATTTATATTAATATAATGGGAACACTGAAACAATATGCAAAGAGGGAACAAGTGACATGTCACTGAACATAGTAAATAAACATCTCTTGAAAACAAGCACAATCCAGAACAGAGAAGACAGAGACACCAAAAAAACCACCATACCCAACACAAACCAACCACAAAGCACCTCTTATTTATCATCTTTCTATTTCAGATGAAGTTAGTAAAGACATCTCAGGATCTTTTAATAAGGAAATATCTAAGAAATCTCATCTAAGAAATCTCATCTCTTTTGTGCTTGGCAGTGAAGATACATATGAAAGCATGGGTAAAACTTTACATTAGAAATATCCTTCTAAGTATGTTTCACTGGGCAAAACGAAACTGCAGATCTAGTAATATAAGGTATGGACATCAAAGCACATCCTTTCAGTAACAGGTGTTCAGCCAGATGGAGATTACAACAGAGTTTATCATTTATATTATTACAGTGCCTAGAAACCATAGACATTGGTCTGGAACACTTCTCTGTGGAGCATCCTATTCAGAATGCAAAAGCCTGGTACTAAACACAAGCCTGCAGCACAGTGAATTTGAGGATGAGCAAAAGGAAAATAAACACACACACAAGAAGAATATAATTTTCTTGGCTGAACCACAATACATGGTTCTATCAAAAACTCTCTTATCCAGAGAGCTAACTCCTCTAACTGAAAAAGAATCTTTCTATAAAGTGGCAGGCACAAAGAGAAGAGGTAAGCAGAGGAAGGTAAGTTTACATATTTAGTTTTAAAAGCTGTAAAACGAAAAATGTAAAAATTCACCAAGACTTTCTCCTTGATACTATAATCAATTGCACTTCACCGGAGGCCTGAAATTCTTCAAATATATCTGCTTACCTTTGTGACAGCTTTTGAAGAAAAGGTAATTTCATCAATAACAGTGACGATATCACCTGGATCAAGTCTATCCAAGTACTTTGAACACACATCATATGCATGTAGCCACTCATCCATGGTTTCTGGTCTTTTTTTAATGAGATGGTGATCACTATCCCAAAAAAGTTTTTGTAACCAGACAGCATAAATAGCACTTGGTGACAGCATGCCGCCATCCTTTTTAGGAATTTTGGGAGCCAGTTTGGAAATAGACAAGATATTTTGACTTGTAAGGATGGGCTCCAGTGTTTCCAATGGGTTTCCATTGTCATCTGTTAGCTTTTTATAATTAAGACCTATTGACAGAGGAGAAACAGTTAAACAAAAGTTATTCATAGTTAAATCATAGAATAGTTTGGGTTGGAAGGGACCTTGAAGATCATCTAGTTCCAACCCCCCTGCCATGGGCAGGGACACCTTCCACTAGACCAGGCTGCTCAAAGCCTCATCCAGCCTGGCCTTGAACACTTCCAGGGGTGGGGCATCCACAGCTTCTCTGGGCAACCTGTTCCAGTGCTTCACCACCCTCTCCGTGAAGAATTTCTTCCTGATATCTAATCTAATCCCCCCCATTGTCAATTTAAACCCATTCCCCCTTGTCCTGTCACTACAGGCTCTTGTAAAAAGTCCTCTCCCATTCCCCTGGTAGCCCCTTCAGGTACTGGAAGGCTGCAATAACGTCTCCTCGGAGCCTTCTCTTCTCGAGGCTGAACAAGCCCCATTCTTGCAGCCTTTCGTCATAGGAGAGGTGCTCCAGCCCTCTGAGCATCTTTGTGGCCTCCTCTGGACTCGCTCCAAGTGGTCAATATCCTTCTGATGTTGAGGGCTCCACAGCTGGACGCAGGACTCCAGGTGGGGTCTCACCAGAGCAGAGTACATTTCATTCAGAAATGTATTGAATCTCTGCATTTATGTGTAAAACAATCAGTACCAAACCAGTATCTGCAGAACTAGAAACACTCTACTCCATCTCCTTTTACAAACATACATACTGACAGACTGGGGAGGAAGACAAGTTTGTATACAGATAAGACTGTGATTTTATGATGTCAGATGTGAAATCTGTCAATCCCTGGAACATATCTTAACGTTACATTTCAATATAAACTAAAAACATGGATTCTCAAAGATTCAAGCATACATATACAGTATGTATGATCATGCTACTATTTTTTATTATAAATCATAGAAAACCTCACTCACCTCAAGACATAATTCTTCATTAATTAAAAAAGATGTATTCTGATCATGTAACAATTAGCACTTACTACTTATCTTAGCCAAAACGCAAGGCACTAACCACAAATAAACTACCTTAAGGTCAACTGGATAGAGACAGAACATGTAGATCCATTTACACAGATATCTACATAATAAGAGTCCTGCTAGTACTGTAGTTCCTACAGGAAGAAAACTCTCAAATTATTTTAGTAACAACAAAATATTTCTAGCAACCATACTACCTTATTCTCTGTATATATAATTCCTAATTCAACTTACTTCTATTGCCATGTATTTCTTCATATACTGAGGGCCTGTGACGTCTACAAACATTTTAATGTTCTTCCTTCCCTACTATCTGTAAATTGTGCTGAATATTGAGAGTTTTAATTAGGGTGTAATACAACAGATTTAAATTCTTACCGAATTGCCTAATTTATGGCTGATGGGTAGTCCTAGGGCTTTTTTTCTGAGCAATGTTTAAGAATAATTTTGAAGGCAAACAATACTTGAAGGCAAACTTCTTGACAGATTTTTTTTTCCCCCCTGAGAAACGCCCAAGAACCTGAGTATTTAAAAACATCAGTAAGAACTGAAGGTAACCCTTACTCCCCCTCCAAAAAATAATGCCCTTTTTCTTCCTTCAGGGCATTAATTGATATGCACAATCTCTCTAAATTCTTCAGGAAAGTTAGTGTCTGATAGATGTGAGGTTCCAGTATTGAACAATCAATTCATCCCCACAGCAGGAAATCCCACACAGTGTGTATTTTTCATTCTGAAACTGAATTTGGAGTTATTCAGATGAAATTAAAGATACTGTAAATACTTGATAAGCAAGCAAGTTGAAACTGTATTCAAAATTTCAGAGTGTTTTCCAGCAGCTCACTTTTATAGGTATTGTCTGATAACATAGGAGGACAAATAATGTAGTTCTGCAAAAGCTAATATCAAGGATAAAACACAAAATAGAATTACACTCTTTAAAGTAAACCAAAAATATGCTTCAAGTTCCTGAGATATTGCATAATTCTGAAAGGTAAACTGTCAAGTCCTTTGACAATATTCATGTTAGGCTTACAGTGTTAAAAACTATGCACTAGGATGTCTGTATTCTTTTCTTTAAAAATTCACTATGAGCCACTGCCAATAATTTTAGCTTATATCACCAACAGAAACCTGGTTTTAAATATTTTTTGCTTGGTGTGATAGAGTAAACAAAATTTTCAGTAATATGAAGAGAAGGAACTTAATATTATAAGATATGACTAACCTACTAAATTATTTGCATTCATCTGATAGGTTAATTGAAAATAAATTACCTGGAGAGTATAAACTAGATAAGAATAATCATGTCAACATTCACATAACAGAATAATAAATACAACTATGAAGAACAGAAACAGGCACTCTCCTACCTGGTGCAACTGCTTTGAACTTTTTCAGGAGTCGGATGTGAGTTTCAGGTTTAACAGCATGCTTCACCATTTCTGAGCAGCCACAGTTTTCAAGGAGTGTAAAATAATAAAGCAATCGCTGGTGATCTCTACCTTCAATACTTGGGTAGACATATTTAACCATGTGTTCATGTAAGGTTTCCGGACTGGTTTTCAAAGTCTCAAAGAGACCAAGACTTTGTGCTCTTTCTTCTATTTCCAGTGTTGATAACCTGCGTTTAGAAATAGTTTGGGCTTTAAAGGCCTGGACATGCCATGAAAGACTCTTCAGATGCACACTTGGGAGACCAGATAATACTTTCCTTTATTTAAGGTTTAACTTTGTAAAACATTCTGAAAGAATAAATACCCATTCATAAATATTTAGATAGTTGCTATTCACCATAAACAAGATGTAAGATGCTCTTGTATTTCCTGATGTTACCTGTTGACTTGGACATGCAGATTAACAAATACTGAAGTGGGATTTGTAGCATTTCACATCTCTAATTATAGGTATATGAAAAAGTAGACATATGTCCAGAGCCTTTGGTACAGAAAGTTTTTTTAAAAGTCAAACAAATTTAAAAAAAACCTTATGGCTGAGAGATGCTAGAAAAACCTATCTTCCAATCAGAAGCTTTCCCAATCTATTACATTCTATTTTCCATAATAGATGATCATCTGTGCATGCTTTGAGAGATATTATCACTGAAAATCGGCTCTTGCTCACTAGTTAATCTATTTGACACTATTATTCATGCTTAGCATATATTCTTTGACGGTTTTATCAAGTTTCCTCTCAAACTGTCATCCATGAAAACTTACAACAATATCAGCAAGACTTGGGTTGACCTCAGCCAGACTCACTGCTGCAGGAAATTTTTTCCCGACCCTTTTGAAAAGAATACATTAGCTCTTTCACAGCATGAATTCAGACATTTCCAGCTGACTACATGAGAGCGAGCTGAATGTAATCGCTCCTTTTTTGCTCAGCTAGGATAAAAATGGGTGTATATCAAAGAAGTCTCATCTTACGTTTAGACCTTTCTCAACTGAAAGTTTTCCCTAAAATCTGATGAAAGAAGTCACCTATAGATGACTATCACGTTGGCTGTCCCCAGAGCCCAATCACATGCCATGGTAGCTAATACTTTTCACTTGGAAATCTGATGTATTTTAATCCCATTTGAATTTCTTAAACCTTTAGAATTGATTAAATTAGAATTTCAACATCAATTTCACCTACATATAAATGTGACACAAGTTAGTGTTTCTCTGATATCCAAGTAAAATATGTCTGAGTTTCATTCCTAAAAATGATTTTCTTGCAGCAAATACCACAAACACAACCTTCTCTCAGTTTAAAAATTATTCTCTGATTTCTGATAGAGAATAAATTATCTTTCAGTTATTTTTATATCTAGGAACCTACCCCAGTTGTGTTTTTAACCCTGTAAGCATTACTGTAATTTTCTAAATTCTTGTTATTTGCCATGTTCTATCATATTAATGGAAATAAGTACAATATTAATGGAAATAAAGCATCATTCACTCTTAACATCAGACAAAACAGACACTGGGATCTGACGTATTTCAAGAGTGTGATCTGAATACATTTTCCTATGCACACTCAAAAGTTCAAACTAAAGGCTAGATGAACATTAACTTATATCAACAGGATTTACAGAGGTTTGCCATGTGTTTTTGAGGTGGGGCTGGCAGTGGATAGGAAGGATTCATTATGTTGTTCAGAAAGATTCTGGAATAATAGATTCTGTGATAGGAAATTTTATGTTTGCCTGTCATTCAAATCATAAAATGCATTTTTATAGATTTTTGGTAATTAAATGTAATCATATTCTTCAAAAGAAACAATTAAATTTCCACTGAATTTTTTAAAAATGCAATTCTAAACCATTTTCATCAGACTCAAATTCACAGCATAACAGAAAAACGTGAAGTTTATTCATCGAGTAATCGTAGAAATAGTTAATACAAACTATGTAAATGCTTTTTCTGAGCTTCTCTCTACATAATGTGGCTTATAGAAACACTGCGTATTTGGTTAAAGAGATTGAGTCTTAGAATAAACTTCTTTTCAGTTCAGAATGAATGCATAATGAGGCATGCATTATTAATGCCATAATCCCAAGACTAAAATATACCGTAATGGCCATACGCTGTCAATCAACTTTAAAATGAGATTATGATACAACAAAATCATGCTTAGCAGCATCTTATGCTATTATACACCAATTTTCAAGTTTTTTGAATTTCATTAGGGAAAAGGTTGTTACTTTGTACTTCAGCGATTTCAAAATTCTATGAATACTAACTCATGGAGGACAAGAACAAAAAAAATGATAGAAAACTGTTGCATAATACCTTCGGCAATATTCTAGTCCCAGAGAAGTCAGCTGGCTCCTTCGCATTCATCCCTGTGCTGCCCTGTTTATACCCTGACTAGCTACTTTGTTTAAAGCACTAAATAATTGAGCAGCAGCAAAATTTAGAGGGTATAACTTCTCTGTTTTCTGGGGGAAGTAAAGAAAATTGCAGAATATTATTTCATCTTCTCAGATCTTGCAACAGCATCTATCAGGCTTTGTTTTTTTATGCCTCATGTTTTATAAAACATTTTAATGCTTTTTAATTAATTGTTAATGTTAAGAGAGGCACAAATACTGCTGCAAGCTAAAGCTGCTTTCACAATTTAAAATTTGAAACAAACCAGACTAATCTGAGCATGTCTGTCAGAACAAGAGATAAGAGCTGCTGGATTACTCAGGGGGCTCTATATCACTGTCACCTGCATGCACTGTTCAGGCAAGGAGCTTAGTCTTTCATCAAATGGGTTTATTCATCTTTCAGTGGGCAAAAAGTATTTGTCTGACTGACAAAATGTCAAAGTTTAAAAAAAAAAAAAAAAAAGGTGGGGATGGTTCCAGGGCCTTTCTCCCACCAACCCTTGAACAGAAATCAAAAGCATCCCTTCCTTCATGCCCAGCCCACCCCCTCCGCCCCCATCCTCCCATGCCAGGTCTGGTCTGCCATAATCTTATGGGCTAGAACAGTTCCAAAAACATACTGTAAACAAAGTGCTTCTATAAAGACATGAAACTGAGCTGAACATATAAATAATGTGAACGGGAAGCTCCAACACAATTATTTCCTTCACTGTTAGGTAGATCAATAAACAGTAAAGCTTTCATATTAAAATAAATACTTATATAAAGACTATGAAGCTTCAGAACATATTCCAATTAAATACAAGATAAGTTGCTATCAGATGAGAGCGCTAAGCAAAGTCAAGGAAACCTAAAATCTGAAACAAAAGTCCCAGGATACTTAGAAGAACCAGTAAGACACCTGTGAACTTCCATCCTTGCTTGTAACACCTATTTTTGTAGATGGTTAAAAAAGCACCACATGGAAAACTACAAAAATTCCAAAACTATCAGAACACAAAAAATTAGATAATGCTAACCAAACCCTACTACCATCATCCTTCCTTTTTTCCTAAGTTTTCACATATTTCTGTGTAACAGAACCGTATGTGTATTTGCAGGGGAGACAACTTACCCACTGTCAGTGAATAAAAATTCCAGATGGGTCATGTAAACTTCCCAAAGTGGAACACTGTATCGCTGAGCCAAAGAAACAGCAATCTTGTAGACATTTTCCTCAAGTGTTCTTATACAGGTAAGACATGAAAGAAAACAAGGAAAAGTTACACCAAGTTACACTAGAGATGTGACATGACCATAAATATTTGCATTAGAAAAGTAATACCTTTTTTTTTCCCTCACAAACCAAGAATCTAGATTTTATTCACTAGTTTGAATCACAGTTAAATAAAAATACATGGTGTATCTCCTTGCATCTGTATATACTCAGTGCTCTATGTGGAAAAACACACATAAACCACAGAAAAAACAGAATCAAACTACAGAGATATTCCAGGGACAGGTATCTATTCCACATCTATTTTGGTACTCAGTGACAGTTTCTGCTTATCCATTGTGCTAAAGCAAAAACCTCTGTTTTAATTTAATTTCAATTACAAAGTGATAAAGGATGCAACGTGTCACAGTTGGCATTTACCTGATGTAGTTGCAAGTCAGTCTTTTAGCACAACTGGTATATAGGACCTCAAAGCTCGTCCCAAAAATTCACAGGCAGAAACTTAGTACTTGCAGACTAAAAGAAGATGTGAAAATGTCCAGCTCCACTGTGTAAATGTCCAAGAAATATTAAACCCCAATTTTCTATTACTGTATATATTGGTTAACACAACAATAGATGGAAAATCTGTTAAGTAGGAATGCCTGAAGTTAACTTATATTAATTTTTACTAATTTTTATACAGGACCTTCTGGAAAGGGACGTAGTTCATATGCACCAAAACATTCTGAGAACCCAGTAAGCACAAGCTAAGTTAACAATTCAAGTTGATTGACAGGCACACCACTTTTCTAAAAATCTAAAATAAGTATTCCAGATCAGTGATGTAAGACAAGGAAGAAATTGGTATCAAGTCATTAAAATCAACTTCTAATTTCAGCATTTCAAGAGAAGCAGTGAAGGACTGAAGACCTCAGAGCCACCCAAAAACCGGCCTAAAGAAAAAGAACAATTTAGAAACCTTATACAACATAGCTGGCCCAAAGCCACATGGGACATCACCTGATTACTCAAGAAGTCCCATTCAGTCTTGCTCTACTTTCCCTAATTCTTTTTCAGATATTTTCTGGCTCTATATTACCCAAATAAATTATTAACTGCCTAAGAACTAATCTTGATTAAGTCTGTGAGGCACCCAGATCTTTAAATATGTGATAAATAATGCATAATAAGCTCTAATGACAATACACCAAATATGGAAGATAAAATTGACAACTATTTGTTAAGTACTTTTAGCAAATTGTTCATTCTAGTACAAAGCTGTTTTGTAAATAAGATATCATCACTTCCAGGTGTTGTTCCTGCAAACAGCACCTCATAAAAGATTAAAAACATGAGGCACTTAATGATAATGTAAAATAAGAAAAAATATGCTACACAAATATATTGAATTTGCATTGTTTTCATTAGAAAATGCAGATTGAGTCAACTGAGAAGATTAAGGAAGCTGCAAGCTGAGCAAGTAACTAATTGGATCCTTGCAGCTGCCTAATATGGAACTACCACTCTCATCCACATGGTATGAAGCCTTATTTTTACAACTCTCTCATACTGTTCTTCGATCTCTACTTAGGTATACTTAGGAACTTTCTCTTCATATTTCCTTTATTTTTACAAAAGACAGTATCTAAAGGAGCGTTGGATGATAATGTAAATGTGCTGGCATATAAAATACCTGTAATAACAGAAGGATTTTTGTACTGAAGTTACTGTAGATAATCATCGAGATGTAACGTTCACCTAGTGACATACGACTGATGTATACATACTGATGGTATGTGCTCAGTGAGCAATATATACAAAAGAGCTTAACTCCAATGGCAACATTAAAAGATGCTTACAAGCTGTTTTTATGAATGCAGTGTCAAAAATTACACAGGTATAGATTTTATAGATGCAGTGCAGCAGCTTACTCTTCAAACACTGAGCTTACACTCATTCAGAACTTCATATCAATGTTTTATTACTAACACGTATCTATTGGAATTGTAGCTGTGAGTACCTACATAGGTGGAACATTGTAAACATCTAATTTGCTCTTCAAAAGCTTCATGCACAAAGTAGTTTAAAACTAGGTTGAAAATTATATTAAAGGCTTCTCATTGCCCAGATCTTTCACAGTCTAGCAGTTATTCATTTGTGACTGTTTTCAAAACATATAGAGTTCAAGCATATTCTTGACTTATTCATAGCTTAAAGTACATGTATGCAGATGTTAATTAAATGAAAGACAGTGCTACACTATCTTTCCTTTTTTCCTGCTCTGAATGATGAGACATAACTGGATAACTGAATGATGAGACAAAAGCATTCTAAATATCAGAAGATTTGCAGTGAAGGCTTCAGTACTTCCCAATGACTATGGGGAAAAAATACTGTAATATACAGTAGCTTTAACTGAATTATTAAAAGTAAAATACAGTTTATTAGCTTTTTTTTTTTTAACTCTAGTTGATTACAGACTGATGCTTGGGCACACCCCAATAGACTGCTAGGGAAGGTTTACAGGAGATGAAAGGAAGAGATCAGACCTCCAGCTATGCTCTGATTTCATTCATCCCTGATTAACTTTAATATGAGCAGTTAATAAACAAAGAGCTACAGCTTCCATTAAAAGGTATCCATCCATTTATTTGAGCAACATTTAAGTGGAGTACTTGAACAGAAAAGGCTCCAAATGTAGCAGTGTTACAATGTAAATATCTAAAGAAACTGGTAACTTATCCCTTCCAAAGGTCAGCACTACCTTCAATTTACTTTTCCGATTTAAAGCTTAAAGTAATTCCATTTTAAAATAAAGAAAATAAACATAATAGACGTTACTTACTCTGCCAATCCTAGTATTGTTTCTCTCTTGTACTGCCCATCTGCTGTAAACCTCTGCACATCCACTCCTTTGCCAAGTCCTTGCAGAATCTGAGCCTGGGTAAAATCCAGTAGTCGTTCATTGTAGTAATGCAGCTGATTTATCAAAGTGGCGATTTCTTCAGGCCAGTCTGTATAGCCATACTGACTAACATACTTAGTGACCACCTGAATCAACTCTTTTGGATCAGCCTGTGAAAATAATTGACAGCAAACTAAAAAAAGCACTGTAATTTTCTGCAAAGAAAAAAAAATCACTTTATAATTGATCCCTGTGTTCAAGAGTGAAATATTTGTTTAAACTTTTGATAAGTTTTGAGTACAACAGAATTCTAAATTTTCTGTAAGGGCTATTTGTTATGGCATTAAAATTTATCCTTTTGAAAGGTTTTAGAATATTCCATATGCTATAACAATTCCAATAAAAACCTTACCTAATTAAATTAATAGTAACGAGTACTTCACTGACTGAAATTAGTTGTTTTAAAGTCCTCATTTTTATTAACGTTGGACTAGGTAACTGGTTGCTAACACACTTGAACAAATCAAAGAAAACTAGCAAATCTCTCCTCAATTACAAACACAACAGGTTTAAATTTACAGTAAAACAGAGACTCTACTTCAAAAATAAGAATGGAAACAATGTTGCAAACAGGGGTTTTTTGTTACTGAAATTCTATTTCTGAATTTCTACACTTCTATGATACAAAACTGATCTGAGGAACAGATTAGCATTTTAAGTGTCCATCACTAATACCTTCAAAGAAAGGGAAGTGTTGCAGGACCTGGAAATTACACTCAAGGCATCACTTACGCTCCAACATCTTCAACTAATTAAATACTGATTATCCATGGATTAGGACAACCTTTGCTTTCAAAACATCTTAATTACAAATAAAACTTACTTTTCTGGGTTAGATCATAGAATCATAGAATGGTTTGGGCTGGAAAGGACCTTAAAGATCATCTAGTTCCAACCCCCCTGCCATGGGCAGGGACACCTTCCACTAGACCAGGTTGCTCAAAGCCTCATCCAGCCTGGCCTTGAACACTTCCAGGGAGGGGGCATCCACAGCTTCTCTGGGCAACCTGTTCCAGTGCCTCCCCACCCTCTCCGTGAAGAGCTTCTTCCCGATATCTAATCTAAACCTCCCCACTTTCAATTTAAACCTGTTACCCCTTGTCCTGTCACTACAGGCCCTTGTAAAAAGTCCCCCCCAGCTTCCTTGTAGCCCCTTCAGGTACTGGAAGGGTGCAATAAGGTCTCCCCAGAGCCTTCTCTTCTCCAGGCTGAACAAGCCCAACTCTCTCAGCCTGTCCCCATAGCAGAGGTGCTCCAGTCTTTAGATCATCTTCGTGGCCTCCTCTGGACTCATTCCAACTGGTCTATATCCTTCTCATGTTGAGGGTTCCACAGCTGGATGCAGTACTGCAGGTGGGGTCTCACAAAAGCAGAGTGGGAGAATCACCTCTCTCGACCTGCTGGCCACACTTCTCCTGATGTGGCCCAGGATACAGCTCAGTTTCTGGGCTGCCCGCGCACACTGCCGGCTCATGTTCAGTTTTACATCTACCAGATATTATTATATATTTCATCTACTAGATATTATGCATCAGGTGCATATTTAAACAAGTACTATATTCTGTAGTCAAAAACCCACACAGCAAAGCAACAATTCAGAACATGATGAAAATACAGTCTGCATGTTTGAAATGAGAGAGGAATGCATGTACCGCAGAGTCCCCAGTTATCTGAAGAGCAGAACAGTGGCTACGTCTAGGCACCTCCACCTGAACACAGCTGTGTGCTGCAGGTACCCACTCGGCACACTCGATACCTTGGTCTCTCTCTTCTGTGAAAAAGCAAGCCACCAGCAGCATGATGCTGCAAGGAAGCGCCGTGACTTCTGTGCAGCACCCACTGAAGGAGTGATGCCAGAAGGGCCACCATAAATACCAGGGGGTGCCATCTGTAGCTGAAGTATTTTCTAAAAGAAACAGCTGATGTAACCGCTGTGATCTCAAAAATGTAGAACATACTGGAAAAATATACTTAGTTTTTATTACAGAAAGATTCTGCTAAATTAGAAGCTAAACATACAAACACTACCCCGAGTGCACAGCAGGGTAAAACACGCACCAGACGTTTGAATCTTGAGGCATGCTTGAATTTTTCTGTGACTTGCTGGTCATTCTAAATTGATCTTTTTTTTTCCCCTTTTCAAGTCTTAGCTGACAGTCTGCTCACCAAGTCATATTAAATGCTACAGGGCATCCTTTTGCCTCACCACATGATACTTTTCTGAAGCCCTCTAAACACTGCAAACTCATTGATTTTATAAACAACATCAGTAGTTCTTTCAAGGTTGCTTAGGAGATTGGTAACAGAATAACAAAACCCCAGAAAAGATACAGGCAGGCAGAGCAGTGCCTCTATAATACAATCACATCAGCTGGAAACCAATCCAGTGCTTATTATGTACCCTGGTATCTCATTTTAGGTGATACACTAGAAAACAGAGCATGGAAAGACAGACAGCCAGAGCAAGATGAGGTAGCCTATTTAACACAATTGCCTAAATCCTCTGTACAGTCCAGTGAGAAAGGCAGGTCCCTCTGACAGCCTATGAGGGTAAATTTGGTCTCTTATTGTAGGTTTCCCCTCTCTCCATTAGGAAGAGTAGAATCCAATGTCAGCACTCTTCTTTCAGTGCACGGCCCACCACAATGTTCATAAAGTACACAAAGACAATCTTGAAAGTATTTTTAAAAAGACAAAACCCTTCTGATGTAGCCACTTTTCAAACAGCTGCTGAAGATGAAAATTAATATTTTTAATAAATTTCCTGTATAACACATTAGTTGTGCCTCATCGTGACAAATTACCTTATTTACAACAATAACTTAAATTAATACTAATTACCAAGACAGGTAAATTAAAAACATTTTATTTTTGGTCCACTGTTGTCTTCAATACACTGAAAAATCATATTCTTTAAATGTGAAATCCCTTTAAAAAAAAAAAATAATCTGCCACCTTACCTCTAATCATAATATTCTAACCAAGTTGTCACCCTCTGAAATGACACCTATCACTAGTGACAACCATTTTTTCCCTATTCGTTACATTTCCCTAAAAGCATCTGTGTGCAATCTTTCATGCTGCCTGTTTATGCTTCAAAGGAACACCTTAAGGCTATCTGATCAGCTCCATCATTTTCCTACTAATACTTTTGCCAAATAATACCCACAGAGGTACAAGAGGAAGTGTGCGGTTCTGCCAGGACCACTGTCTACCCAATTGGTCAGTACTGATTCACTGTTTCTCTTACCTGATCCTTTTCTACCTCATTTCACTTCCATGTAGTAATTAAAAATAAGATTTAAAAAACCTGGATCAAGGACCACTGCGTGATGCAGTAGTACCATGACAAATAATGATTTTTTTGGAAAGAGAAGGAAGCAGAAGATAACCTGATGTACACGTTGTCTAAAGGCTAAGTGTGATCCTGCGACGTATGTATGACGAATGAGAAACAAAAACATTACACTAATGATTGTCACCAACATAACTACTTCCCACTACCAGGTTCTTTTCTGGGGTTTGAAGTTCTGAAATAAGTTATAAAAGGGATGGCTTTGGAAAGTATCACTTTCCAAAGCTGTAGTTGTTTGCAAAACTCATTTACTGGAATGACAGTTTTCCTTCTCTCAGATTTGCCATCCTTCTATAGATTTCAAGCATTTTTTTTAAATAAAGGTGTTGCCTGCACAGTATTTATTATTAGACATGCAACACAAGCTCAATGGAAAAGAAAACAAAAAAACCCCACAAACACCCAAAAAGCCCCCAGCAAAAGTGTTTGGTAACAGGCTGCCTAAGAATAATACAGAAATGACTAGGAACACTGATGAGAAAAGATCAGATCATCAAGGCTAACCCACCCATAATAACCCCAAATACATAACTGATTTTATGGGCCTTTCTGGAGTGAAGTGGCAAAACATTTCCATCACCTTTTGAACTGTAGTATTTTGGTAATGGTGAAAAGCTGCAACCTGAGTGAGCCACAGGAGTCTGAATGGGAAGGCACATTAAACCTTGCCAAGATCCTTCTAACATCAGATGAGTTCTAAATCATTCTAAGTGATCCTGAGAAAGAGATCATGCTACAGAAGAAGACACATACACCAAGCAAAACCCTAATGGTCAGCAAAACTAGGAGATGACAGCAAATGAGAAAGCAAGAGACACCATGAAGCAGGATGTAAAATCCTGCTGCAAACGCAGTTGCACTTCGATCACTATCCTGCCTCTAGTTGTTGCCCATCTCCAACCATTTCTAAGCGAACCAAACTACACCTCTGGAAAGCACCTACATTTCAGGGAGGAGAGCTCTCCCTAATCCACGGAGAATGCCACCATCCCTACAGCAAAAGATTCAATGTGATGGTGGAGGAGGCAAGAAAAAATGAATGAAGAAAAGCACATATAGGCAACACTTTTCCTCACACACAGAAGCAGGAAAAAAGATTTAGAGAAATAAATAGTTCACTCAAGAAGTAAAATCCTGAACATGCCTGTTCACTCGTGAAGTGAAATCCATCCCTCCATACGACAGCTTTTCATGAATTAATTCAACGACACTTGTCTTCAACTGAGTCTGTTGTCACTCTGTGAGTCAAGAGTACGTTAACTTAGAGGCAGCACCATATGAATTTGGGGTGGCTGACTTTTCAGATCACAGCACTCTCACGTCTGGTCTGCTCAAAGGAAAAGATAAAGTGTATGGCTGAGATGGAAGACCAGAGAGTCTCAGAAAACAAACCCCTGTCCTGTCACATCACTCAAGCGCAAGGATATCTCAACTTTCTCTCTCCTCCCACTGCTGCAGCTAGGTATATTGCTGGGTGACAACACTGATTTCTTCAGGACCACCTTTCACAACCATTTTTTAAATGGATACAAGAAGCAGCAGTGAAACCACACCAAGTCATCATATAAGGATACCTACTAGAATAAGCTAAAAGATGTGTCAGAATGAAGTTGCACAAACTAAGAAAAATTCAGTAGAGATGAGCCGAGCAATAAATCCTCAACCACCAAACCTATAGGTAGGTCTTATACATTCAGATAATATTAAAACATGATCTTTTAATAGCCAGAAGCAGAAGAAACATTGTCAACAAAG